TCCCCCCCCCCCCCCCCCCCCCCGTGTCTCCTGCCAGTCATTGTAGACGTTACACCCCCAAGGAGGGGCAGTAAGGAGGCCTCCTTACTCCGAACAAACTCAATGCATCTCCTTCAATGTGAAGGAGCAACGTCTCATTACTGAGGTCCTCCTTAATTGCTTACCCCGAAAGAGACCAATCACTCCGTGAAGAAACAATTTCTTGGTTGCTTGTATCTGCAGTCTTATTATTTTAGTGACTATGCACAGCTTGCGACCACAACTGAGAACTGGAACAAAGATTGACTTTAATGTGCAACTCAGATCTCCCCTTTCCACCACAGCTTGAGACAGTTGAGAGCGATAAATAGCGGAATTCTTCTACTTTGATCAGATTCTCCTGGGTTGAGTGAGTTGGTGTATGAAGTAGAGGAATTATTGTCTTAAAATTGGAGAGCATCACGTTCAGGTAGAACCCATGGTCACAGTCAGAGAGGAAGACAAAATCATGCATTAATGGCAGTAATCCTATTCTAAGGTCTCTCTAGACCTACTATGACACCTCAAATATCTACCAGTCTGTTAAAAAAAGGGTAACTCTACCAGAGCCAGGACAAAATCCACACTGTTGCTCCTTATTGTGAGGTTTAAAAAAATTGGCCAGTGCCTCCTCCCCAGTGTTCAGGATTTCACTAGAAGGCTAATCGGTGCCAACACACCCTCTGGTCCTCGTTTGTGAAACGGAGAACACCACTGCTGATTACCAATCTAAAGGCAACATCAATACGACATTAGAGACATGCGTGAACCATGACAGCACAGCAGTATCCCAAGCTTTCAGTATTTCAGGGTGAATCTTCAGTGACGAGTGACAGCTAGGTCGTGAGGTGTAAACTGGGTCATTGTCAATTCTTTTCTCACCTATAAGTTAAGTTTGTATAGTTGAACTGGAGGTAACCGCTCCACATTAGCCAAAACAATTTATCATTATTAATCCAAATATGCTGGTTAAATGTTGGATGACGATCTATTTGTTCTCTCCTTTGTGTCTCCAGGTAGTCAAAGGCCTGACATATCTGTGGAGCCTGAAGATACTTCACAGAGGTGAGTAAGGTAGTGTTATTAAAAAAAGAACAGAGTTGATAAAGCTGTAGAGTGCTGATGTTGCAGTTCTTTCAAGCAGTTTGTCTCTGCAGATGTCAAGCCTTCCAATATGCTGGTGAACACCCGAGGACAAGTCAAGCTCTGTGACTTTGGTGTCAGCACACAGGTACACTGATTTGTTTGTGTGTGTGTGTGCGTGTGTGTGTGCGTGTGTGTGTGTGTGCGTGTGTGTGTGTGTGTGTGTGTGTGTGTGTGTGTGTGTGTGTGTGTGTG